TTTTCAGGGACTCTTTAGCCGGTGTTATTAAACGCAAAAATACACACACACGCCGTGCCGATGCACTTGTGAAGGTGCTTCGTTGGCTTCATTGGATCATATGGTCGAGTGTGCTTGTATACTTAACGTGAGACGATATATTAAAGTAATATAGAAACCACAATGGAGATTATCTATGAATATGATAGCATTCATCGTTGCACACACGGACAGATTACGGAGAAACTGAATTGGTGGATAAGTCACGCGACGTAAATATTCCGCTAAATTTTGCGGGGATGTCGTGAATCGACATCCCCGCAGCGGGTAACCTAAAAACACGGCCAGGAAATATGATACCCATATAACTGAAGATCTCGAGTAATAGTGTAATATTGCTATGGCATTAAAACCTTGCTGGTGCTCGTAGGCTCCTCGCTTGGCCATCCTCCAAATATTCCATGTCCACAGGGTTGCCATAATTGTAACACACCATGTATTTATTCGCTCAGGTTCATGATAACTTGTAACACTCGACCGTTATGGTCGACCATTACACGTAGGTTAAAGTCACATAAACCATATAGGCCCAAAGAGTGCATTAATAAAACAATACAAGACTACGCCTCATGGAGACTGTACTTTACCTTTTCCCAGTACGCTTCGACGCATGCGCACACCCCCTTTCCCGCTGTCTCCATTTCTGCAGGGCACCATACCGCACGGCTGACATTGTTAGCGCCTATCTTTCCGCGTATTTCGTCTTTTTTTTACTATTATTTTTTGGGGGAATCGGGAATATCAGGCATGAAAAGCAATGAAAACTGATACAACGGCACGATGTTGATGTGTTTTTACGAGCAGAGGTCTGTTGGGCTGCCCTTCATTTGTAGTTCGAGGGCAAACCGCCACGTGGCACTCGTTATTCGAGAAAGTCTAGGTGGCGTAAGCTACCGCCCGATACAAAGGGCTCAGCCGGATTCATTCATCCATCCATCTAGGTCCATTGGCAGCAAGTGATTCCTAGTAAGATACGGTACCCACCTAGCTAAGTAGAAAAGGTGTGTGGGGAAACTTACAGTTGGTTTATGAAGTTAAAACTGAAGACTAGCTTAGTCACGCTGGCAGACCGGAGGACACAGTCTTTTATGCTACCATACCCGTGCAGTGTGTGGTTGCGCTAGCCCCAGACGCCGTCAGCCCCTACTCCATCATACATAGACGACATGTGCAACCCACACACTTTGTGCGTACAGTATCTCAGTACCCAAGCAGCACATAAACGTGAAGAAAACGTCGAAAGAACGTCGAAGACGTCTGTAACGTGACGTCGTAAAACGTCGAAGGTCCGGACGTTACCTTCCTTCGACGTCGATGAAACCTTTAAATGTCCGCGAGAAAAGGTGCACAGAAGGTCGAGGGGACGTTCCAAATGACGTTTCTTGCACGTCACATGCACGTCTCAGTGGGCCGTTGCGTCCTCCCTCGACGTTTATGATACGTGTGTTTACGACATCCGGACTGCCAACGACGTTCACAGAACGTCGAGAAACCTTTCCAAATTACGTTCCCTAGCCGTCGTGGGAAAATGTTGTGTCCCCCCCCCCCCCCTTTTCCATAAAAAAAAAGTAATTTTTTAGTATTATTGCGAAGGCAAGTTGCTATCATGCAAGTACGAAGGAAGGAACTAAAACACAGGTTTGGTACAAACTGTTTATTTGAGCATTTTCAGACACGATCGAAAAGACGTCCCTGGATGTGCCAGCCTCAAAATATAAAAGAACAAACAAATTCATGTAAATAAATAAACAAGAGACGATGTCACGCAGCACGGAATGTTCCACCGCTTACCTCGTTCTGCTTCTGATTAGAAGTGCTTTAGCCGCCCCATCGCAGATAGCTGGTACTCTCGCTGCGTGCACGGGAATGGTTTCAGAAGGAGGATCCCGTCCGCTGGGCGTTCTTGATTGGGATCGTCGGAGGCGTCTGAAGGTTCTTGATCGGACACTGGACTTGACGCGCCGTTATGTGCACTGCCACTTGTTTTCTGGGGGGCGTCATTCATATCCTCACAGGCACCTTGATCCGAGCAGTAGTACGATTCAACGTGTGAAGCGTTATGGCCTTGAAAAAGGTCCTCGAGTGGTGACTGAATACGACGGCGTTCTTGGCGATCACCGACTTCTTCATAGGGGCGACTTGAACGACTCATCCAACCGCAGCATTTACAGTGTATGCAGACTCGAAAAAAAATCACGCCAACACAGCAGCCTGCCTCGCCTCGTAGACCCGTAGACGTGACGGCCGGTGCTAGTGATTGGCTTTCGGAAAAAGCTGGACCGGGTCCCAGAGCTGTTCTCTCTGGGCGAATTCGAAGAACAGAACATTCAGTGAAATATTTTGGTAACGACTGAGAAAATACGTGCACCCGGAACTTACGCTTGTCAATTGTTCGTCGTCGCTATCTTCCCCCACTTTTCTCTCGCCCTCTTCTTGCCGAGTTTCCCGACGCATCTCATAGGGCTCTATGGGGCTGCCACTGGCATCTCCTCTGCCTACCTCCTTCCCCCTCTCTCTCGCGCCCGTGCCGGCTGTTTTTTTTTTCTTTTTTCTTCCTTTTTTGTGTTTTTTTTTTTCGGCACGTAGGTGCGGACTGGACTTGAACGCTTTTTGGACCGTCATCTGGGCCATTCAGGTTTCCACAAGCCGTTGACGGTATCCACGGGATTTCGTCATTGCCGGGCTTTTTTTTTTTTTTTTTTAGTCAGCTCCAAAAATGCGCAACTGTGCAGTGAAGTGAAGTGCTCTGACACAGTGTGTGCTGGCATGTGATTTTCGTTTCGGTACGTCACCAGTGGCAACGAAAGCCAGATCTGTACTGACAGTCACGTGACAAGACTCTGCGCCCCGACCTACCGAAAACTCTAAGGCGCTGGAAGTTAGTTGGTGTTGTGGATGAACTGTGATGTTGATGCGAATTTTTTGGTTGTGCGCAGGTGAGCATGGGTTAGAAAATACGAAGAGAAATTGACGAACCTTAAAACAATCTCGGGTGGTCGCGGAGCAGTATGGATGCTCCTAGGAAAAGATGCAGGATCAATAGCATTTTGAAATACGCAAATTAATGTATAAAAAATTAAATTTCTCAACTTCTCAAAAATCAAGGTTAGTTTGCGGCTCTTGAGCACTGTCACCTTGACCACAGTGATTCTGCGGCTAGAGATGGAGCTGCAAAATCTAAAAACGTCGAACAAAATGTGAGTGGTCGACGTTGCCAGCACGCCTCGTATGACGTTTACGAAATTTAGGTGTGAACGCGACGTCGCTGAAACGTCATTGAAGGGATAATAATGTAATGTCATCCTGGACTTTATTTTAACCTCGAAGAAACGTGAGTGTTCGACGTTGCTAAAACGTCTTGTCTTGACGTCGTGGCTACGATGACGACGTCAAAGTTGAAACGTGACGTCGCCAGCACGTCACGGACAGGACGACAAAGGAACGTCATTTATGAACTTCAGTTCAACGTCAAAGAAACGTGAGCGTTGGACGTTCTGAGAACGTCGTGCATCGACGTCGTGGGAACGTTGACGACGTTTGAGTTGAAATACAACGTCGTCACAACGTCACTGATTGGACTCTAATGGAACGTTATATAAGGACGTCACCTCGACATCGAAAAAACGTAATCGAAGTCATGCGGGACGTCACGGACGTCCGGGACTTTTTCTCGACGTTTCCACGACGTTTTGTGTTGCCTGGGTACATTCTGTATACCGGAGATGTGAGCATGATCAAGCTAGCGTAAATTTTTGAACGAAGCTTGGCCAAGTAAAGTAGAAATTAAAAATGTTACTTTAAGCTGTCAAGCACTGTTTTTTTTCTTAATATACCACGTATCGATGGATTGAAAAAAACTCATTCTTTGTCAATAAGATTTTCAATTATTTACTGCCTTCCAATATTGCATATTTTCGCTGGTTACACAAGATGATAAACTACATTCGATTAGAAGTAGAGCTTTTAACCACACAGAAATGAGCTTTTAACCACACAGAAATGAACCTGCTGCCGAGCTGAACAACTGCTCTTAGAAAATGACACACGTGCTTGGCTTCGTTGCCTAACGTCGAACCAGCCTCTATACTAAATTTCATCGTACAATGAACCGAAAAGATCGATCGGAGCCCTACCAGCTGATTCAACGCGATGAACGTAGCACATCACTACGCGCCCCTCTCGGCTCTTCGCCCCTCCCACATGTCACGTGGAACTCACGCGGCAATGGATTGGCTGTAATGGCTCGTGGCCAACACAGCCAATTTAATGCAGATTTAGTCCAGTTGTTGTTGTTGCTTCTAAAATTAAATCGTAACAGCTGGCTGCTGAGAAAAACTGCAGATGTCGTAACCACTCCGGGGTCATTAACAGGGGTCAGTGACATCCACTGGGCGCCATGTGGTACTTTTTGCGCGTGTTTTCAAAATAATACCGATCTACGTTAACGTATATGCCATAATTTCAATGGGATATCCAAATTTAAGCTAAAATTTGCGATAGAATAATTCGCCGAACTAAATTAATCTGAAAAGTGGCAGTCTTCCGTATGCAGTAGCTGAAATTCTGAAAGGCACATGCACCCGTCCTGTGCAGCGCAAACCGTAAAATTACCAACATATGTCTGAGACAAAGGTCATAAGACAGTGAAAGTGAAAGGTCAAATGTTTAAAGCAAAAAATATAAGCAATACAAAATACCAATCTCATGTGACTTGACTAGAAGCAGAAGTAGAGAGGGGCAAAAGATTGCAGAATAAAATTTATAACTTTATATTTTATTTCGTATCGCCCCTGTACAACGCTGCTTAAAACTCAAGTTTGATACAAAATACGATACTTTTTATGCGCGGATATTTATGTTCTCACGACTCTCGGCTAAAGCTCTGCGCGAGTCGGTAACCTTTCATACATAACTACTAGTTTTGGACGAACGGGAAGATTTTGAGTTGCAGGAGGCTATCAATGAGTCCACTATGCTGGAGTTTGTGCCTATGGCTATGGTTGATGTGCACTGGTGTGGAATGCTTGCCCAAACTTCGTCTCAGCTCAAGAGACCAAGACGATGGTATGTGAAAGATTTCTGTTGAAGAAAACATTCTATTTCTTATGTTGCTTTTATTCGATAAAAGAGTTTTTTTTTTCGTTTTCGGAAATACGAACATTTTACGCAAGTTTTACTTTTTAGTCAAGATTATGGCTTGCTGTCAGGAATTCGGAACAAGTCAGTTAGTGAGTACACGAGTCCCATAAGTTACTTAGGTATAATACGGGATAAAATTAAAGTAGTGTTTTTCGAAAGTAAAAAAAAGAGACTGTAATAGGTCGCGCAATAATTTGTATTTCATAATTAGAGGCTAGAAGACGTTGACTAGGCAAGAACTTTAGAAAACCTATATATATATATATATATATATATATATATATATATATATATATATATCAACTATATAACAAATAAATATATTTTACAAAAATTATTTTTTTGTGTCCTGCCAAATCAAACATGCACTCAAAGTATATTTGTTTAGAAAACTCGGGATTTATTTTAACTATGTAAAATATTCACCTGGTATACTTTTAGTATACTTCTTGTTTTATCGATTTGCCGTGATCGTATAATCGGCCTTGCAGCTGAGGTTATAAATACTGTATAATTACTAGTTAGAAGTAATATCTAATGTTGTATTAGTATACTGAAAAGAAACTTTTTTTTTATTTTTCTTGGTTTCTAAAAACACGAATGTACTATATTTTAGTAAATTGCTTTCTGCCAAGACAATCCGCGCAAAAACAAAACTTGTTTATTTATATGTTTGACAGGGTTGTGGCAAACAAAAAATGTTCCCGCTTAGATTGCCCACAGGAACAAATTTCCCCACCGTGGGGATTGGGAATATAAGCTTTTTCCTGGGGATTGCGTGGTTCTGCTTACTGTGTCGCGTAGCGCACATATGTTCTCACATTCTTGTAATATACTTTTGAACACAGCAACCATTTCGTGCGCTTGTGAAGTTCCATGATTGGTCATTTTTGTTTTAAACATTATGCTTTACTGCAATTATTTAAAGCTTACTGAAATCAAGCACCTGCGCTTCTTACGTTGATTTAGCTTACCGAAAAGCCTAATGCAGTGACGAGAGGTAATTAACGACAAAAACAATATATAAACAGTAAATAATTTTAAAATAGTTAAACATTTTAATGATGATTATGGTACAAATAGGGTAGAAATCTCGCCCTTTACTATTTCTGCCTAATTTCTAGCTACAAGGCTGGTATAATCAAATTTTTATGAGAGGCTTTTTATCGGCCGAGAACGGGCTGTTTTCGGGTGTTTTTCGTTTTTATCGTTCAAATCTAAAGAATTCATTCAACATTCTAACAATCAATTCTCGTGTTTACCGTTATCTGAACTAAAGTGGCGAAGCGAGCGAGTTGGTTCATGACTTATAAAATTAAAAGCGGTAACAACGACAACGGCAAAAAAGGAAAAACATTTTCCTATACCACGATTGCGGGAAGGGTCCGTGAAAAATCTGCGTGAAAAATCTGCGAGGGCGTATATTATAACGAGGGCATTGAAGGCTGTGTTAGCCAGCCGTCAATTTTTCTGCATCAAAAAAGAGAGTGATTTGATTGACACGTGGTGATGAATGACGAGACTAAGTCATAGTGTTTTTTTTTCGGAGGTTGTTTGCTTTAGATGTTTTTAAATTAATGTTCAGTTAAGAGTAAGCGCTCGTCCTGTTCGCCTTTCTTTTTTGTCCTTGTGTTTGCTAGCGCTTTTTATTTTATAAGCCATTATCCGGCTTCTGCAAAAAAGCATGCTAGGATGGGAGTCTGAATCGATTAGCCATATTAACAACCAAGCTGGAGAATTTTACATGTGAATTTTTATTTCCGTCTTGTTCCACGAAGCCGCAGTCAAATGAGAGCCTAAAAACTATTATTTCAGTTTTAAAAAATAAGCATGCATCGAAACGTTTATTAACCTTTTGTGCAAAATCTCGTTCAAAACTAAGTTTTCTAGCCTCCCACTAAACTTGCAGAAAAAATTAAGAGAAACTTTATCCATGCTAAAACGTATTGAGAGCGCTGGTCTGTAGGGCTGTACTTTTTTACCCTATCACCTGCAATCAACTTGCAATTCGTGGGAAAGGAATGACAGCCGTAATAAAGTCACTGTCTATAGTTGTCACATGCTGTATGTCACCGCTATATAATCGTGATAAAACTTCGCAACATTGCCATTTGTCCAGCATGATACCGTTCGCCGAAATCGAGCACTCCACTTACAACTTACGAATATAGTCTCCTGTCTTTCTTTGTAATTTCTATACGTTCAACATGTCGCGTGTGCCTTGAAAAATCTCTAAATATTGTTGAAATGAGTACAGTATTAATATAACTGGAATTGTTGATAGTGCCCGTTTACGGCGGTCCGTCAGTTTAATTCCCCGATTATTTGCAGAATTTTAAGAAACATATATGCTTATGAAATATGGTTTACTTTTTTTTACATATTTGTGTTTAGGATGGATAGATTCTACATATCGCTGGCATAAATTACTTCTTTGAATATGTAGGTATAGAGTCTTATGGCAGATGTCCGTTCTGGGGAGTCAAAAAAATTTTCAAGTTTAACTATCCCTTTTTCTGTTAACAAATAATATCACAATCAACGCCGTATGGGCTGTGAGATTATCAAGACGACGAACAAGACACCTCATGCCATACGCCACACTCACTAGGAGACACGTCTGAACAGAATCAATCTTTGCACATTGTTATGCAATAGTCTAGTGCGTCAAAATATTCCGGTTTCGCGACATTACTACGCGTGCGTGAAGCGGATTATTGCCAGTTTGGGGATTAAATTCACAAACCTTATATATGCCTCACCAGGGGCCTTGGAGAAAGTTGTCTGCACGAGGATGAGTTAGCACAAGTATTCGACAGCAGGAACGCCAACATTGCCGCACGGGGTGCTGCGTTTTCACTAACACGCCTAGAGCGAAAGTAGTCAAACCGTTTTCACCTTTCAATCCTGGAGAGGCTTCGACAGACAGTAATTGTTTACAAAAGAAAATGACTGGATTAATACACTCATCTATGATCCTACCCCGTTCGGCGTTTCAAAAACCATCAATGACACTAAAAGAGTGCAAAAAAAGATATCACTCCTTTCTACGACCAAGCAAAAGAAGACCCCACATCCTCAGCATGGCAGGCAAAAGTCTTACGCTGAGGTAAAACTGCTAATACATCGTGCAAAGCATGTATGCTGCCATGTTCGAATCATACATTCGTGTGAAGAACGCGCACGCTTGACACGTGCCCGCCAATATTTTTTTCATCATATCTGCAGCGAACACCGAGTATTTTGCATGATGTATGAGCAGAGTTATTCCGCTCGAGGAAGTACTGTGGTGTTTTTGAAAATCCGCATTGACAACAGCTGATGTCTGCCGACCTCCCCCGTGCTACAACTAAGGCACCCGCGCCAGGCAATCTCAGTTCTGTTAAATTTGCGCGGCTGCGGTATCAGGTGCCGCTTTTTCGTTGGCACGGCAACTGCTCGTTTGTATCCATCTTTTTTTGCGGCAACTGAGCATTATCCCAAACTATATCAATCTACCTCAAAGGTATGTTTGTTTGTGATTTTCATACATTTAACCAAATCAAACCTAATGCTCAGAAACATAGCGAGGAGCTCTCTTTCGGTGGGCATGGAATCTCAAGGGAGGAATATTTCTTAGTGGCAGTGATAAAAAAAAAAAAAAAATCGTAGTTAGCCGAAATCACGCTAAACATAACTGATCTTTCAGAATCCCTCAATTTATAGTAGTCAAAAGCAAATAAATAAGCAATACTCAAACAGCGCCATTTTTGAGGCAAGGAATTACACGAAGGAACGGAACGTTACTTTGCATTAGGCGACTGACCCAGATATAAGTAATAAAAAAGGAAACCAATTTGCATTGCGATTAACAGCGGTCGAGCTGACGCAGAAGTATACAACCTTGTCATAGAAAGAAAGAGCAGTTTTGATGTTTTCCATAGACGTATATTGTCGCAGCGATTTAAAGAAGTTTCATTCATTCACATTTTCTTGTAGCTTTCAGCTACGACAGTTTCCGGTACCTGTTTCCGGGAAGTTGTAGCTTCCGCTGCCCCTGAATCTCACCCCTAACATTGATGCCGTTAATCTTTATAAGCTTTATATGTCTAAAATTAAAAAAAAAATGCAAGTTGGAATTGGTGTATATTACCCTCAATTCATAAAACTGCCGAGACACAATACCTCTTTCGATATTCAGTTTAAGCTTGAAACAAGCGACGGCTTCATGACGTGTTAAGATACCGTATCTTGATACATGAGTTGTAGTCCAGCTCCAACAAAACGCTATACTAACGCCAATACGGCTGTAGTGAAAACTTAACCAGCATAATCCCAATATAGCACGTCATAAAAAGACAAAAATAAAAATCTCGTCGCGCACCCGTACTGCTTTTTTTTATTCGAATAATCAAGCGTTCGTTTTATAACGCGCAATCTAACCAAAATGTGCTATTGGTATTAAACAATATTCAGTACTGATCCACAAAGGCAAGCCCTTCATCCAAAGCGCATAAGGTTGTGTTCGCGCAGTTGTGATCTCTTTTTGAACTAGCAAGTCGCCTTCGATAATGTCGCGGCCTTATGCCATATACTACACTCTCAAGAAAAAAGGGTGTCAAAAGGTGTATTTTTACACCCTCTGTCCCATATAATAGACCCCAAAACTTCAATTCGACGTACAGCGCCCTACAGTCAAACAGACAGCACGAAATTTTACGAGGGGCTTGATAGCCGTGTGGTACAACTTATCAAAATAGCTAATGTACGTTTTACTGACAACAAGAAAAATAATCTGGGTTTTCTTGGCCCTACTGTAAAAACTCTGTTTTCTTTATGTGGTCTTTTATACGTACTTTTGCTATTTAAAATGTTGTACCACATGGCTACCAAGCCCCTCGTAAAATGTCGGGCCGTCTGTTCGACTGTAGGGCGCTGTACGTCCAATTGAAGTTTTTGGGTGTATTATATGGGACAAAGGGTGTAACGATACACCTTTTGACACCCTTTTTTCTTGAGAGTGTACAGTTTGTGTGTTTTGATTAAATTTGATGAAACTGCACTTGTGACCACATTACGCTAAATAAACAAGTGTCGCGTGTTTATATGTTTTTGTTTCTGATTTTTAAACCTATATCGAATAAGGTATTAAAATATTCTTTTTAGAAAACGTACCTATCTGGAATATTTCAGATTCATTTACTGTTTCCATTAAGTACGTTATTGACGACTCCCTCAATACTGAGAATCAAGAGGCAGTGAACGCCTGGTTAGTATGGGTCACGCAGCAGGTAAATATTTTATATTGGATATTCTTCAGTTTATTATTGCCTAATGTTCCTAGTTTTCCTTTACACATTTTCGTGAACGGTCAACGCTCGACATACTGTAACGGCGAATTAGAGCGCAGCTCTTGAGGAGGAGGAGGGGAGGGTACTGAGGGGAGGGTAGGCCCCTTCTCCTCATCCGTGCCATCTCCTCCTCCCCTCCTCCTTCTTTCACGCGCGAAACGCGCTTCATCACGCGACGTTTCGGCGCGGCGCCGAAACGTCACCGCGGTGCATTATGGGACGTTTCCCATAACACACCGCGCGGTTACGGCGACGGCGACGCCACTCAAGCCGGAAACGGGCGCCTAAGAGCAGCGCTCTAAAACGAATGTCGCTTGACGAAACTTCGCTGAACAGAATGGCATGGGACTCCCTTTTCGGAGTCCCATGCCATTTTGCATTTTGCGCTCAATTCTGGAATAGGCGGCTTCCCGTGGCAATAACCTTTTCTTGCCTAAGCAACCGGATATAGCACGTGTTCCTGCTTTTAAATAACACGGCACCAAGACATTTTCCCGAAGAACCTTTCCTCAGAATAAATGGCCTCAAAAGATCTAAAAACTTAAAAATCAATCTGCACAAAAAAAAAAAAAAATCTTTTTTTAACTTTTACAAAAACAAAAATTGTTGTGGGTATGTTTATTCAGCCTTGAAGTAAGTCTGCCTTTAACAAGCGACTTGTCTCAAGGTAGCGTCCGGTGCGTGTTGGAATCCGGACGTTACCTTGATTTTGACTCGAACCCACCAGCGAGTCACAAGGCGTCAGTGATTTCTACTCTCTTGTCTAGAGCAATGACCATCTGCTCGTCGAACAAGGATAAAAGATAAGAAAAACAGACCATCCTTGCTGACCTCCAAAGAAACGGCTACACAGGAAGTTTTGTTCAGCGCGTCACCCGTTGGCAGTGTTGCAGGCACCATAACCATGGATCGCCGGATGACACACAGCTCTGCGTCATCGTGCGCATCAGTGTCCCCTATGTAAAAGAGACCAGCGAGGGACTGGCGTGTGTGCTCCGAAAAAAAAGGGATTCAAAAGGCGCACAAGCCAGTGTCAGCATTAGTACGGCTCTCGCCCAGGCCGCAAAATCGCCTCCCAAAAGAAAAAGGACAAGGCGTAGTCTGCAAGATACTGTGTGCAGAGTGCCCTGCTGCCTACATTGGCGAAACTAAATATTTTCCCGAACGCATGCGCCAGCACCAGAACGATGTGCGCAATTTTGATCTTGAGCGTAGAGCCGTCGCCGAATATTTTGAGGTACTCAATCATCGGATCGACTTCGCGAACGCGCACGAGATAGACACAGCGACATATCCGAAAACGTCTGTTCTTGGAGTCTTCGCATATTAAGAACACACCGGGGAACATTAACAGGTACCTGGGGACCTTACCGTGTCTTTACGTCCAGGGCCTGCATCACGTTAGCAAAACATCAACTTGGTAGAAGAGGAAGAGGTCGAAGCTCTCGCTGTCCGGTTCCATTTAGTCACCTCCTGAAGACGGAGTCAAGTCGACCCCGAAACTTTGGGAACTAATTGTTTCTGAGCTTTCGGTTAGATATGTTTTTTTGTTTTGTATTGTTTCCCCACACCAGACATATTTCTGTCGGAGATGTTGGCTTTCAAGTACTAGACCACAGATTCGTCCGGGTGTTGCGTCCTTGCCTTGAGCTCTCCTAAAACCTTCGTTGCGTAGCATGCAGCCAGAAACTCTTCTCACATCCTCCGATGAGGTCAGACAGGTTCGCGAAGGGGGCCTGCGATCCCAAACAATAACGGGCACTGACTTGTAACGACCGTGGGGCTATCCGGGTCCTGATGAAGGCGTTGGAGGCACCGGGGGCAAGGAAGTTAACAGAACAGAAGTTGCGGGACCTTAAAACGTCGACATTTATTTTTTTCTAAAAGACAGACACTCCGTTCGCGACACTCTATGCTCTGTTTCACCTGATGATGGACCTCAGCAAACGCTACGAGTCATCGAAGCCAACCCAATGTCGTGTGAGTGTCACGAGACTTTCGGAATGGGAGCAGCGACGCGCGTTATGCGTAGTCGTGTGATACCTTCACAGTTCTAGATTGGCTGGGACGACTCGTAGCGTTCTCTAAAACCCATCGTAAAGGGAAACGAAGTATAGTCCAGATCAATGATCATCTGCGGGTCGAACACGGAGAGACAAATGAAAAGCACATCATCGTTACTGGTGAAGCTTCAACCTATAAAACAACCTAAGAAAAAACAAAACGGGACAAAACAGTTACTCTGTCCTGTTTAGATCTTTTTACGTTTTTTTCTGTAAGTTAAAGCTCACCTTTCACAGATATTTACCAACTATTCCCAACTAAAATTTGTAAACAGCATTACTGACGTCAAGAAAAAAGGATATTTAATCTACATTGCTGAATGCATCCACCGTCGCCAAGGTGGAGTCAGCCAAATCAGGTGCCCCGCCGCATTGGGCTCATCAGCGTTCCTTACGAAAAATGTACCAGCGAAGCGTGGCGCATGTGCTTATAAAATACTGCGTTGAAATGGCTCACAAGCCAGTGTCAACTATGGACGATTCATGTGTAACCAAAATATCGTCTCCCAAATAAAAAGCACAGGAAAAGATCTACGAGATAACGCGCGCAGTGTGCGCCGCCACCTACAACGGCGAAACGGAGATCCTGCTGGAACGAATCTACCAGCACAAGAAAGGTGTGCGAAAGTCCGACTGTAAGCGGAGCGCCGTCGCCGAGCGCTTCGAGGTTCTCAAACATCGGATCAACTTTGCGAGCTCCCTCGTGATAAACACCTAGCCTCATTTTCAAAAAACGGCTTTTCATAGAGTCGTGGCACACCCTGCATATTCGAGAAACTTGAAAGTGGTATTTTGTGTGCCTTGCCATATGTATAGCCCCAGAGCTGTATCGCGCATCGGTGTTGCCGACGCGCTCTTTCTTTGCATTTGTTAATGCCCAAATGCCCTTGCTTGATGTACCCGAGCTAGCATAACTCGCCGAAGGGCATTAGGTATTAGTACCGTTGTTGCTTTAAAAAGTATTCCGTCAATCGCTGATAGCTCGGGATCCAACGAACTGAAGTCGCCTTGCAGTGTGTCCCTATTTTGTAGACATCGTAGGACATGTTGCAACTCGGGATCTTTTTTGTTTCGGTTCTGAGCAGGTTCTGTGTCGTCTCACTCACAACTGCAGCAAGCATTCCCACAGCATGCACTTCACCATCTAGAGAGTATTGTTTTTCTTGTGGACCTGGTTGTACTGTTCTTGACAAAGCGTCAGCGAGCACGAGCTTTTTTCCTGGCAGAAAAAGAAGGGAGAAATCATATTTCATCAGTCTCAAAAAGAAACATTGTAGTCGAGGTGGCACACCACCGAGGCTCTTTTTAGACAGTGCGACCAATGGACTGTGATCAGCTTCTAGAATAATGTGCCTAGCGTATGTTGGGTCGTGGAACCTCTCACACCCGAATACCAGTCCAAGTGCCTCCTTTTCCATTTGAGAGTATCGTGACTCGCAGTCCGATAATGACCTGGAAGCATACGATACAGGACGCCATGATCGGTCATATAGCTGCAGTAAGACTACTCCGATTCCGTCCTTCGAAGCATCAGCCGACAGTTTTGTCGTCCTGTCTGGTTCAAAAAGAGCAAGAACTGGAGCACTCGTGAGCATTAGTTTCAGCTGCTTCCATTCGTGTTCATGCGAATGGAAGCATGCGATCATGTGATCCACTCAAAAAGTGCACCTTCGTGAAGCAGCCTTCGAAGGTTGGCTGTATGTTTAGACAAACGGGGAATGTAATTTCCGAAGTAGTTTATGACGCCGATCATGCGCTGAACAGCCTTCTTGTTTGTGGGCGCTTCGAGGTTCAAGATGGTATCGAGAAGGCTTGGGTCCTTCCTTCTTTACTCACTACATCGCCAAGAAAAACAACTTCCGGAATTCCAAATTGACATTTTTCTGAATTTGGCCTCAATCCTGCCCTGTGTGCAGCCTGCATGGTTAATCTCAGTCGCTCATTATGCTCCTCGCGGGTAGCTCCCCAAACGAGTACGTCATTGATATATACCCGTACTCCCTTCAGTCCCTCAAAAACCTCAGACACTGCACGCTGAAACACTTCGGGTGCAAAAGCCAATACAAAAGGCAACCTCAAAAATTGGTACCGCCCGAAGGGCGTGCCGAATGTACAAATTCGCGATGTTTCATCCGTCAGCGGGATCTGATGGAAGCCTGACCTTGCATCAAGTTTCGAAAACACAGTGGCATTGGCAAGTTCAGCTTCTATGTCTTCTCTCCTTGGCATTTAAAAGTGCTCACGTCTCAAAGACTCATTTATTCTGCTAGGATACATACCTTCAAACTGCCGTTTTACTTTTTGACTATGACAAGTGGGCTGACCCAGTCCGAGGGAGCCTTCATTCTTGTGATTATACCCGCCTCCTCCATCCGATTAAGTTCCTGCTTGAATGGCTCCATGAGCGCTTGAGGCACACGACGAGTGGGTTGAATCACGGGCACAGCAGCTTCTTTGAAGGCGATGCTGTATGAACGTTGCAATTTTCCGATGCCTTGAAACAGTGATGGAAATTCTCGTTGCATTCGGGTTCCAGTATCTATGGAGGTGGCAATTTCATGCGCGCGATTCACCAAGCCCACCGCTTCGCAGGTCTGGAGTCCCGGTAGCGCTCGCTTGCCTTTCTTGACGACAAAAAACTCAACCGCAACGGCTCCATCTTCTAGTTGGAGCACAAACCTAGCTTTCCCCAGGTGGCCGATAGCACTACCGTTGTAGCTACGCAACACTGCCGGACTTGGCAGCAGCTGTTGCTTTGTGCTCGCGTTCCGAAAGAAAGACACAGGTAAGAGGTTCACTTGAGAAGCGGTGTCGACCTTGAACTCGGCAGGCGCTTTCCCAATTCTTGCCTTCAGCAGCCAGTCCTCCTCTGCGCTTGTCCCGGACTCTCCCACCTGAAGAATATCGAAGTCACTTTCTGCCTGCTTCTGAACTTCCTCCACCTGTGGTCGGCGCTGCTCGACGTGGGACTCTGCGTCACAGCAGATCGCGAAATGACGCTTCCTTCGACATGTATTGCAGATTTTGCCAAAAGCTGGGCATCGGCGTGGTTGGTGAAATCTGTTGCACTTTCGAGATCTCATTTGCGGTGTGTTCTTGTTTCTCTTGTGTAGCATCTACCTGCTCTTCCGGAGTGGGGTGCTGACTCAGCCCCATCTTGGCTTGTTCTGAAGACTTCTCTGCGGATTCGCAGATTCTAGGTGCTCCTTCCAGGGTCAAGTCGTCCTCTCTTAGGGGGCGTTCACGAAGTTTATCATCTCTGATGCCATCGACAATCTGATCCCTCACCAAGGAATCCGTCAGGACGCCGAAATTGCTCGAGAGCACCTTGACCTTCAGTTCTTTCATACATTAGTCCAATGACTGACTTTCTGCTTGGTGGGTCTTTCGGAAAACATGGCGCTCGAAGGTCTCGTTGGCTTTCGGTGTACAGTATTCCTGAAACTTGTGGGTCACCTCGGCGTAGTTCTGTTTCTGGTCTTCCGTGAGTGTGAAGGTATTGAAGACGTCCCTTTACTTGGCAAGGACAATTAAGGAGGACCGCCTCTGTAGAGAAGGATCGTTCTTGGCAGACAAGAGAGACGAGAATTCCTGCTGCCCCGTGCAATTCAGTCACCCATGAAGAAGATACCAAACAGGTTTCGAAACGTTGGGTCATTATATTAGGGATTTCGTTATATATATTTGTATTTAAATTGTTCCACCCAACCACGGATATATCTATCAATCATGTTTGCGTTCGAATATTCAAATATTGCAACTGAACAATGTATCTATATGTAAATATTTATAATGTTAAAAGCAATCCTACTAACCTTCAAGCGCTTCGACAATTACTGAATAAATACTGGCATCATCTGAATATGCTTCCATAACAATTCATGCTGTAACCTTTACTTTGTGTGATTCATTTTCCAGGCAATGGTTGACTTTCAAAAGGTCTTCCACTTCACTCTTAATCTCAGCTACAAAATAACAAACCTCGTAAGTATCCGCATCGCTATCCTAGAGTTATAACTTATACTATACCAGCCGTTTTGTCAGAAATAATGATTGGTTCCATGGATGCAAGATAAAATGTTGGTGCACAACATAAAACTAAACTTAACTTCGAAATTTGCTCAATATTTTTTTTTATTTTAACAAATTCATAAAAATGGAACAATGAATTATGCAAAAAGATAAAGAGCCGTATCAACTTGCTATATCTTTTCGCAAAAATTTAATAAATTGTTTTGTTTAGACATATAATAAATTTTTCAAAAAACAAAGTTACCCATATATACCACATGAATTTGTGAAGCGATATCAGTGGAGATATATTTACTGTCAATTTTAAACTTTTTCTCCCCTGCTATCAATGGGCGTAGTCAGGTGAATACAGTATATTTCGATATATCAAAGGCTTTGACTTGGTTATTCATCCGTTACTTAAAACACAAATTGCAATTTTACGGCATGTGACCTTTACTTTGCGTATTATTTCTGGATTACTTGTTTAGTCACCAAAACTTCATGCCTATTCTTGAAGGGTACTGCTTTCGGGTGTGCCACAAGGGTCCCTACTTAGACCAATGATTTTCGATATTTTCAAAATTGATATAAACAGATGTGCACAGAATTCGAGCATTTTAAAATATACAAATGGTAATTGTTTCGAAAGATTCCATTCATAAGGGACTGTGGAATGTTAACTTACGATGTTAAATCAGCGGATAATTGCTTTAATACTTAGAAACATGTTGACTATTAATTATTCTATACAGTTGTCGTGCATTTATCTAGGAAGACTGGAACAGCTTATCAATGTCCCATGACGCCCGGTCGAGTGCACGCGTGATTAAGGTGTATATAAAGAGTCTCAGTTGTCTTTTAAGGGTGAAATTGATGTTATAATTTCCGCTTATTTTTGTATGCTGGGCATTAATTCTAGAATTGAGCGCGAGTGTCAATATGCATGTTGTGATTATTTTTTTCGATAATTTGATCCAAGCTATAGTTTTCCCCTGTTGTCCGGAACTAAATTAGGCTTATAAGCTTATAAGTGATGGTAGAAAGTGTTCAATAGCCTTGCTTTTAGATTTCTTATATGTCGTTATGGTGGTCGTCGAGTTCAATATGTATATATAAAACTTCTGTAATTACGCAATTCCTTACTTTGAGAATTAATATATTTGTGTAAATGAATTAATGAATTTATTTATTTATTTATTTTATTACCCTCAGGGCCCATCGGGCGTTACAGAGAGGGTGGGTGCAATGGGTTTACCAAGTACAATTATCAATTCACATTACAAAAAATAGGCAACAGCATGAACACAAAAGAAAAAGTATAATCAACAAATTGCAGAATTATAAACGTAATCAATTATGGCTGCCTTGAGACCACAAACATCTTCAATCGCGGCGGTGTCTGGAGGAAGGTGGTTACACTCTGAACAAGTTTTGGCAAGAACGAATAAGAGATGTTAGTGCTGCAGTGAGCTGTGGCAACTTTGTATTCGTAATCAACCCGGGATGAATGGTATAAAAGCTGTAAAAGGAGTTCCTGTTTCAGCACTGGGTTATGAAAAAAATATTTTATGAAAAAGAGAAAGACGCGCAATCCTCCTTTGAAATATCAGTCCATATCGCAGAAACATATTTCAGCTTTAGGTGGATGAGTGTATGATAAAGAAGAAGCTCAAGAGAATAGGGTGCTTGAGCAAAATTTTGACGTAAGTAGCGGAGGATGCGATTAGAATTATTAATAACGTAGTTAACGTGGGTTTGTTATGAGAAGTTATTAGTAATGTGAACTCCAATTTATTTGTACGAAATGACGTGCTTTTACATTTGTTAATGTTGAGGGTCATCAGCCATTTATTACATCAGGTAGAGATGTGGTCGAGATCACAGTGGACAATAGATTGATCGAATAGGTCTTTATTTGGCGGTAAAGAGCGCTGACGTCGGCGAATAACGTTATAGAGGACTGGATACCGTTAGAAAGGTCATTAATGAATATTAGGAAGAACAAAACGCTTAAAACGGAAGCTTGAGGAACACCAGATTTTATACCAAAGAAGGAGATGGAGTACAATAATTCGCTATTACAAATTGTGCGCGATTAGTCAAAACTTTCAATCCATTTTAAGATATTAGGGTCAATATATACTTAAAGTTGCAATTTTGAAAAGGAGCAAGTGATGTGGCACTTTGCGGAATACTTTTACAAAATCAAGAAAGATGCAATCGAAAAACTGAGCACGATCCAGGCCCGACGTTATGTCATTTGTAAAAGAAAGCAGTTACGTTTCACTGGAATTGTGTCTACGAAAACCGTGTTGGAAGGGGTTAAAAAATAAATTTGACTCTATAAATGATACGAGATTTGAATAAATTACATGTGCCAAAAGTTTACATGAAATACTTGTTATCGAAAATGGTCTGCAATTAAGAGCGGACTGTGGATTACCGGACTTCTAAAGAGGGACCACCTTAGCCACCTTCCAGTCGCGTGGTATAGTCGAACACTCAATAGATTGCGTGAAGATATAAGATAACATTATAGACGAGTTAACTTCTGTGTTTTTTTAAAAACTTTGAGTTAATTTCGTCCACACTACGAGAAGATGAATGTTTAAACTTCCGAATTCTATGCCATGATCTCGTGTCATCTATTCATGTTCTCATTGCAAGGCATGTTTTGCAAGTTTTTTTTACATTTTGTTAATCTAATAATCTCAATTAGCCCCATGACCTGCATACAACACTTGCATATCATTCTTGGTGCAGTGGATATTGACATTTTAACTCTAGTTTTAGCGTTTAAGTTGTTTCTAATTAGCAGTTTATCGGTTAGGGCATCATTCTCGACCAAGGCATCAGCTGTTCATGAGCAAGGAAAATAAAGAAATGAATGCATGAAGAATTCTCATTTCAACTGTTCCTTTTTCTTTAATGCCTAACAATCGTAAATTTGAGTGAACATTTCATTTTTAAGAAAATAAAAGCGATCAACAAAAAGGGGACCGCAAAATACATGTACAGTTGTCCAAATTTGGGGCTTTGTTTTCAATTGCTTATTAGGTCCGTCATATGGTTGTTAAATATTTTAATTGCATTTCATCTTTACTATTTGAGAGCTAAGAAAAATTATCTGCCTAAATTAAGTCATTAAAGTGTTTCCTCGCTGAGCCTTACAAATGCATCAACATAATATTTTATTTCACTAACATCCTGTATTTCTACAACTTATTGCTCAACACTACCACGTGAATGAAAGTTCAATCAATAAACAATACATAATAAAACAAAAAATTATGTTTTAGGCAATTACTAGCTAATCATAATAGTATGCGAGTTATATGTTTGTTCAACTTGTGTTGCCTAGACATACCTTAAAAATGTATGCGGGCCTCTAAAATACTATCCTTTGTTCATGTTTAGGAGAACCAAGGGGGGCTAAAATTAATGTTAGAAGAAAAGAAAAACGGAGAAAATATTTGGCCAGACGGAGCAATTTCTACGCTAACTGAATATTTTAGAAACCAGATCCATTTTGACATTATCTGCCTCGTAACAAAGTAAGTAATTACCGCAATTTCTTTTTCGTTCCATTTGCCACTCGCCTAAACTTCACAGTCGTTTCTTTCTTAGATTGAAGATTGATGACGGGTCTACGGTGAGAAATGGATATGGTGAGTGCACCTCAGGACCTTCCATCCCCCCAAAACTTATTTAAAACTTTCTTGAAAGCAGTAAAAACAATTCTTTGTTATTGAAGTAATATGAATGAAAACTACGCTTTAGGAGTCACCGCGAACGCTTCTCCTCAAAATAATTGCATTTTCTTGGGGATGCTTTCACTGTAATTTAAATGTCATTGTGTGCTCGCTTTTTTTTATGTGGGAAGATTTTGTTTATTGTTTATTTACCACTAAATGTCCTAAAAATGAGAAATCAACTTTGACGCCTGATTAAAATGCCTCCCAATATTCCACATGATATATTGTCACGAGTAACAAAAGATCAGGCGGAAAATAACTGGAGGAACTAAACGTCTAATGAGGCGAACTCGTGTCCAGAACAAAAACAAAACGAGGTTTGCATCGCAGGCGTCGATGTCGGCGAAACAGCAGGATCGAACGCTGGGGCGAGACTGACTCCGGACCGCCACGCGGAGTCCCAGAGTAATATACTAACGTAAAGCGGGGCCAATCCCGTAGGCCCCGGTTGCTCACTTAATTGTCATCCTACTGGAAAAAATATATTTGGAATTCAGACGGGTGGCGAACCTGTCGACACATTCGGATCAAGCATGATTATGGGCATGGGATACGTGTAAACGTTTGAAAGAGTACCCGTTAAATGCAGTACCCGTTTGATACGGTACCCGTTTGATAAGGACGCCCGTTCGATCGGGCACTCGCCCACACATTTGAACGTGTCCTTTGATTATTTGGGCAAATTATTCGTTAGCCCTAAATGGGTATCGTCTGGGAGGTGGGATATCTCAAATTTATTTAAGACGTCTCAAACGTGATTAACCTATTTCAAACATGGAGGAAACCTACAAAAAACGTACTCGCACAGGTGTTTGCAAATATGCAGAAAGACAGACAAAAGATTGTTTTCAAATATTCTTGAAGTTTATTACATACAAGCTATATCGTAGACAGAACAAACGTGTAAGCTATCTGATAAATGTGAAGAGGCACTACTGAGCTTTCATACAGCTGAGAAGATTGCAAAGCAAGCAAGAACCGGGGTAATTCTGGGCTGTAATGTGTGTTGTGCAATGGCAATCAGTTCTAGGCATTCGATTCTATACTATACTATGTGCAATGTCAATCAGTTCATCGGCAGGTCGTTTCATTAACACGCTGTTTCATCTACACACTGTTTTCTAAACAGCTATGATTAGTTTTTTGTTTTCGTTTTTTTATGTAACAAGTCACCCCAGATTGTCGCCGCAAATGGCATGTGGTTTGGGCCAGGTTGGTTAACATTTTTAATGAGCCGTCGCAGAGTGTGGCCGCGAAATTGTGTGGACGGTTCGGCCGGCCAGGGATACACCAGTGATGAAATATCCCAACAGCGTATAATTCGCGAAATGAGTATCGGTAATATTTTAGATTCGACTAAACGTGTCCATGTAACGGTACCCATAGAAGAGTTGTCTATAAAACGTGTTTTTACATGCCACGATAATAAGAAAGTCAATATTCAACCGACAGTTGTCACATCAGTTAAGAAAGCTAATGGGAGGCGACAGCCGATAGAATTTCTGAGAAATTATTATCCCGGCTGCCGGGAGAATAGAGACTGCCTAATTCCATAGATGATCCGAAAGAATACCTGTAGAAGAACGGTCAATCGTTGCCAGGACGTAGGTTGCAGTGCACTTACCATAGAAATAGCGGACTTGAAAGACGTAATCCGAGATATATGTCGACATTGGCACTGTAGAAGAACCACGCAAATACAAAAACGAAAAGGAAGGGTTCCGTGAAAATTCAACACGATGTGGCACAAGCTGCAATTTGCCGAACCGAACCACACCACAATACTTTCTGTGACTTCTTGGAAGAAATCACTTGTTGCCGACATACGCGTGGGAGTTTTCGAACACTGATAGCTTTGGTACACTTGGAATACGTTGTCACATTGCCACTGGAATCCCTGACAGCCCAACAGGCCGCAGCTAAGACTTCAGGGCGAGAGAAAGGAAGGCTGGGGAGGGGAAGCAGATAGATTACTGGAGAGGAGAGGAGGAAAGATCCCCTCGCTCCAGCATTCCGCCTACCTCCTCCTCCCCAGCCTGCAAAGCAGGCGCTTCTTCAAGGTCGGCAGGGAGGTGCCCTCAAGAAAGGCTTATTGTTATATGTGTGGCAGTGCTCGTGCCTTGACGTGCAGCGTGCGCGCGAGACGATCGCGTGAACTGACTGACTGCCTACCCGAGCGGCAGCATGCAGCCGTGTTCTAACCGGGCTGATTTCTGTAACCCGTTTTTCTTGTAAATACACCACATTTATTGGCGACGAGGATGGGATTCTCGCAACGAATTCCTGCTGCCATCGGGTCCACGGTTGGATCATCGTCTGACTGCTGGGGGCTTGACTGGAGCCAAGGATTGTCCAGCCTCGGAATCCTGGAGCGGCCATCAAGCGGCGACCCCTCAGCGAAGACCATGAGTCGCATCGGGCACATCGAGTCTTTCGACGATACGACGAGTGACTGGCGCTCCTATGAAGAAAGACTGGCGTCATACTTCCTGGTAAACGAGGTTCCCGAAGGTAAGAAGGTCCATGCCTTCTTGAGTGTCATCGGTCCGAAGACGTACGCTTTGTTGAAGTCGCTTACGTCCCCGCAGTCACCGTCCGAAAAGTCGTTTACCGCGTTACTCAAGCTTCTGGGCAATCATCTTGCGCCGCAGCCATTCGTCATAGCGGAAAGGGCGAAGTTCTACAAGCGTTCGCAAGAAGAAAGTGAGTCCATCACCGAATTTGTAGCGGTACTTCGGGATCTAGCACAGAGCTGTGATTTTGGAGGCTTTCTTGATGAGGCGCTACGCGACCGTTTTGTGTGCGGCCTTCGCCGAGAAGATGTACAGCGCGTCCTCTTCACAGAAGACAAAAAGCTGACTTTCCAGAAAGCGGTAGGGAGGGCTCTTGCGATGGAAATAGCAACTAAAAGTGCAGCGTTAACGCACACCAGCGGTGCATCGGTCCCTGGCGTCCACAAGGTTCGGGTCGACCACAAAGCGCAGATAGACAAGCAAGTACCTGAGCAGTCAAGTTGTTTCCGTTGTGGCTCGACCAACCATCGCAGTGATGCGTGCCCCCACGTCGGTGTCACATGTTTCAAGTGCAACCGGAAAGGGCACATTCAGCGCGCCTGCCGTTCGGGTAACACGAAGCCGACAAAATCGAAACGACAAAGGCAGGTGAAAACGCTGACGTCCGTTCACGACGCGGTATCTCTGCAAGCGGTCAAGGCTGCGGGCTTGAAACCAAACTCCGTACCCATAAATGTTGACGGTGTGAAGCTTACAATGGAACTTGACACAGGCGCAGCTGTGTCCGTTGTCTCCTTGACTGAATTTCGGAAGCTGTTCCCAAGAAAGCAGCTACAACCAACAGCGCTGACACTTCGCACGTATACAGGAGACTTTTTGAAGCTGAAGGGTCTTGCCTTGGTCTTTGTGCAGCACAACGACCAAAGTAAAGAGCTTGCACTGTACGTCGTGGAAACCAAGGGACCGGCATTGCTTGGCAGAGAATGGCTGCGAGAAATTCGGCTAGACTGGAAGAACCTTGTCCCTGTCAACAGGCTCGACACGTCGGAGAGTCTCAAACAAAAGTTGTTCGCCTTGTTGGAGAACCACAGCGACCTGTTCAGAGATGAGCTTGGCACCATTTCTGGAGAACAAGCCGAACTTTTTCCTTCGTGAAGGTTCACAGCCGAAGTTTCTGAAGGCTAGGAGCATTCCATTCGCACTGCAAGCAGCAGTTGACACAGAATTGGCAAAATGGAAAAGTTGGGAGTCATCACGCCTGTGGCTACCAGCGAGTATGCGACACCCCTTGTGCCTGTAGTAAAAAAGGATGGCAGTATACGCCTCTGCGGAGATTTCAAGGCTAGGCTCAATCCCTGCCTGGAGGTGGACAGGTACCCCATACCACGTATTGATGAGCTGTTGGCGGCCTTAACTGGCGGACAAGAATTCTCAAAGATCGACCTCAGCAGGGCTTACCAACAGGTGGTTATGGCGGACAACTCAAAAAAGTTGCTAACGCTGAACACGCACAAAGGGCTGTACGCCATGAATCGTCTTGCTTTTGGCATCTCATCAGCACCAGGCATCTTCCAGAGTTCCAGAGGATAATATGCTAAAGGGCCTGAAGGGTGTCAGCTGCTATCTCGATGACATCCTGATCACCGGAAAGTCGAAGCAAGAACACCTCAGCAATCTCGAAGCCGTCTTGTCGAGATTACAAGAACGTGGTGTGCGAGTGCGGGGTGACAAGTGCTCGTTTTTTTCAGCACGAACTACGTTATCTAGGCCACGTCATCAACGCCGAAGGTGTTTGCGTATCCCCTGAGAAAGTGTTTGCACTGCTGAATGCTTCTGCTCCGAAAAACAAGCAGCAACTGCAGTCGTTCCTTGGGATGGTGAACTACTACGGAAAGTTCGTTCCGCAACTTTCTACGCTGGCACACCCCTTGTACAAGATGCTGAGACAAGGAGAAGAATGGACGTGGGACGAAGTTTGCCAGTCCGCTTTTCAGAAAATCAAAGCTGCGATGACTTCCCCACCGATCTTAGTTCATTATGATCCCAAAAGACCCCTGCAGCTCGCCTGTGACGCATCGCAATACGGCATAGGCGCCGTTCTTTCTCAAGTTTCTCCGGACGGAAAAGTTCAACCTGTGGCTTACGCGTCTCGTACCTCATCGGAGGCTGAAAAGAACTACAGTCAGATTGAGAAAGAAGCACTGGCCCTGATTTTTGGAGTTAAAAAATTGCACGTGTATATTTACGGCCGTTTCTTTACCTTGATTACAGACCATAAGCCTTTGCAAACCATTTTCGGCCCGAAAACAGGCATTCCAGCAATGGCTGCTGCACGGATGCAGCGCTGGACAGTGACGCTGTCTACGTACAGCTACTCGCTCCAGTTTAAGAAATCAAGTG